CCCCAAAATGTGTAAGATTATATTTGAACAGCCCCTATTTGCAGCACCGAGTTCTGAATAGCTTCCGTGCTATTTGAAACGCCAGTACTAGAATCTAGATCTAGTAGCCATCGTTTTTACATGATAATAATTGTAGGCCTAGTTCTGTCTGAATTGTGGAAGCTTTCTCAGTTTCTTGATAAACCTCCTAAGTTTTTACTCCTTTTTCATGACTTTGTTTTATTCCAATATTGGGTAGAATAGATCTAACAATTGTTTCTGACATTAATAAATTGTTAGCTCAAAAGTAGACTAGATTTTAGACGTAGATCTAGTCTTGTTCATCTCTCATATTAAATATAATCATAATCATTTGAGTTTTGAGTTTGAGCTAGAATCTAGAAGTCGAAAGACGCTTGGATAGCAACAACAAGACGGTGCAACTCGGTATAAGCAGTAATTTCCTGTCCGCAGTGTCGTCATACAATAGATTCTAGATCTAGCCTACCTAAAAAGATTATCTTTAAGTTATAGGCCTAGAGAACGTATACAACAAGCTGTCTACGTTCGCTAGGTCTAAGTCTAATAATGTTCAGTGCTTCTGAGCGCAACATTGAATCCCGGTCCTAGAAGATTTTTTTTTTTGGCAAGCGCTATAGATCATTTTGCAACGTCGCGTTCTGAATAGCTGCGTGCTATTTGCAAAGCCGCGTTCTGAATAGCTCCCGTGCTATTTGAAACGCCAGTACTAGATCTAGATCTAGATGTAGTAGCCCTCGTTTCTACATGATAATACTGTAGTTCTGCCTGAAGTGTGGAAGCTTTCTCAGTTTTTTGATAAACCTCCTAGGATTTGACTCCTTTTCTTTATGACGTTGTCTTATTCCGATTAATATTGGGTAGATCTAGAAAGAATCTAGATCTAGAAAAATCCAGTTCTAGATCTATATTAGATCTAACAATTGTTTCTGACATTGTTTGCACAAAAGTAGACGTCTTGTTCATCTCTCATAATCATAATCATCTGAGTTAAAGTTTGAGCAAGTTTAAGTCGAAAGACGCTCGGATAACAATAACAAGACAGTGCAACTCAAACTTTAAGTTAGCTCTGTACAAAGTAGGCCTTAGTATAGCCTATACTTTTCCTTTTACCAGTTTAGGCCTGGTTAAAGGGGGGGCTACACCTGTAGGCTATCTCGCTTATAAATTGCTGGACCGAATTTTACAAAATTTCACACATATAACAAGCATAGTAAGGAGTCTTAAAATCGGCAATCAAATTTGAGAAAAAGTTTTGTTTCCATGGATACGGCGACCATATTGGATTTTTTTGACATGTCTTACATAATGAATACCGCACTTATCGCTCATGGAAATTGATTGTTTTTTTGGCATGCGTCTTTACAAACATTAGATCTAAAAATTTGTCGGTTGTTTTTTTTACTAAACGAATTAGAAAATTTTTAATGAATTTTTTCCTGAGGTAGCGTTCAAGTTTGCAAAAAATCTGTGAAAATCCACACTCCAGACACCACCAACAAAAATCTATTCCAAATATCAAAAATTCAACAGACAAATTTTTAGTATTACATCTTTTCTTCCTTCTGTGAAAATTTCTTGAAGATTGGATGAAAAATGGTGGAGCTATTAAAATAAGTATAAAGAAAAGTCCCGTATTGAGAAAACGGCCGATAAAGAAAAATAAAATACTGACTTTATGAGGAAACGGCGGTAACAAACATGCCCGGTACGGGAAAAAATACGGTTTTGGGGGGTTCTTATGCATTGGAATAGTTGTAGGAGAGGCTGAGGAAGCTAAAAATGCCTACAGCTTGAATTCCATAATTTTGAGCCTAATTTTGACTTTGGGGGTGTAGCCCCCTCCCCCCTCCCCCTAATTAAAGTTCAGTAGTGGCTTTCCTTGGTCTGTGAGTCTAATTTAAAAAAAAAAAAAATTTAGGCTGAGGAGACGGAAAAGAAAAAACCTTCCGGGACCGGGATTCGATGCCACGCTTGGAAGCACTGAACATTAGACTTAGAGAACGTAGATATGCAGTAGACAGCTTGTATTTTGTATACGTTCTCTAGGCCTAACTCCGATAACTCTGCGCAGATTAAGCGTGATATTTTACACATGGCGAGACGGCGTTTTATTTAGCACTGGCGCTAATCGCAACGCGGCGTTGCAAATAGGCACTTCCTTTTTTATTCTTCTCCTCAGCCTAAAAAAAATAATAAAAAAATAATAATTTGACTCACAGACTAAGGAAAGCCGCTATTGAACTTTAACCTAGCCTAAATTGGTACTAGGAAAAGTATAGGCTATACTAAGGCCTACTTTGTACAGAGCTCCTCTTGGGGACACTATCGGAATGTGCATGCTTCACTACTACATAAAAAACTACAAAGCAACAAGTTATAATTATGGGAAAAATTTGTTGGTCAGTCGAGAAGAGGACAAGAAAAAACAAAAAAGAAAACCAAAAGCAAACTTCCAGGACCGGGAATGGGATCGAACCCACGCTCCTGAAATCGTGGTTTGGCTCCAAACGCAGACGCGCTGTCACTTCGGCCATCAGAACTTCCATCAACGATAGGTTATAGGTTATTACCATAGAGTTACCTATGGCTATTACTGTAAACCCTCTCTGGGTAGATTAAGCTTCATATAGCCTAGGCTAACACACGGCGTTTTATTCAGCACTGGCGCTCATCGCAACGCGGGGTTTTATTTAGCACTGGAGCTAATCGCAAAGCGGCGTTGCAAATAGGCACTTCCCAAAAAAATTGCAACAAAAATGAAACCATATTATGGTTCGACAGATAAAATTGCGTGTTTTAAAAATCGGCATTCAAAATCGTAGAAGAAATTGTTTAAAAAAGCGTTAAAAGTTGTCAAAAAAAGCAACATTTATATTACGACCAAATCGGTTTATGGTACTTGCTTTAACGCGAGAATGTTTACGTAATTTGTACGGATTGTCCCGAAAATGATGTAATCGTCATCGGTATCAGAGCTTTTTAATGTTAAAAGTATGGGAAGCCAATAAATATTAAGAATACGTTTTCTCACATCCTCAGCCTGAGCTTTTCAGTGGATGTTTGTTTATGTGTAATTTCCCTCTAAAGAATTTCCCCTTGTGCAATTGACATAACAAGGTGTGTATGGTATTCTGGCCGTTGTACAACATAAAAAGAACAATATAGACGTATAGATCGTTGTACAACGTAAAAAGAA